TATATTTTTTGTCCGGTAATAAAATTTTGTTCTACCAAAAAGAAAGAACCAAAAGAACCACCCCGAGAGAAACAAATTCTTTCTCTCCACAGTTTTTCATATGTGATTTATAGGTGTGTTTTTCCAAGTAAATCCAAACAAGGCTAGTGAGTGACTCTGAGTTAAAATTTGATTCAGTTAACCTGAAAAAAGAGCCTCTGGGTGGAAATGGGAGGTTTTAGACAGCTGTTTATATCATTTCATGTGGGATTTCTGAAATTTCCAATTCCATAGTTACCAAGGAGTGTGCTGTTTGACCATACAGTGGGGGTTTATAGGTGTAAATGCTCTATGAAGAATGAAAAACAAATATAGAGCATAGCTATAAAAATAAAAACAACTTGCAGCTCTGGAGTGAACTGTTTAAAGATATTGACCAAGTGTGCTCTGCTGAATGATGGTCCAAGCTTCACCTTAAAAAGTTGGGAAAACATGGTGAAAAACAGTCCTTGGTATTGCTTGGACCTCTCCTGGCAGGGCGCCGTCGAGGGGCGATCACTGTTGAGCCTGTTTGTTTGCTGTGTAATTCCCACATTCTCCCCATCTCTTGGGAGCAATTCTTTCCTCTGAAGGAGGGAGAAAAAAAACCTTTGGCCTTTTTCTGGCCAAAAAAAGCAGGCATTTGTCTTAAACAATGCAAGGAATTGTCTCTCATCTCTGAATTTCTTCGGTTCAGCTGCCTTTATCATTTCTTGGCTGTGGTACCACAAAGAGTGAGTAAAGGGAGAAAAACGTTGGTGTTGACATAGGTGTGTTGGGATCAAATCCCACTAGTGTTAAGAAGATTAACACAGAGGCTTAAAAATAAACCTCTCTTGCTCAAATCCTTTTTGTGTTGAAATAATTGAAGACATTTGAGATTAAGAAAGGGGTTGAGGTCATTGTGTGTCCAGTAATGGTATGATTGTGTTTTCTTTTGTTTGGACAGTTTAATGTCTTGAAGTGGCTCTTGTTTCCTCTTATTAATTCCTGTAAATATCATGGAAAAGGATCTCACAGCTCAGCCATGCAGCAGCCAAGTGTTGCACAACCACCTACCTCAGACTGGCTGCATAGCTTAGCAGAGAGCTATGCACTTAAAAAAATTTCAACCAAGGAAAAAGAGATGTGTCTTTTTTTTAGTGGAACATTTTCCTCTGTTTCTGGACCAGTGAAGATCTTTTCCTTTTGTTTTCCTTTTTTTTTTTTTTTTTTTTGTGTGTGTGTCTTTTATTTTTTTTAAAAGATTTTTGGTTTTATTTCTGAAGACGTAGTATATTTAGAAAAAAGCTTATTTGTCTGAACATTAACTAAAACAGCCAACAAAATGTGTGATACTATTGTAGAGGTTGGACTATGTGTGAGTTGAGTGAAGTCACCACCCCTTCAGATCACACGGAAAGAGAGTTTGGCTAGTATTTAATGCAATTGAAATCTCCCTGCTGGGAGTGCTGGCCTCAGGCACCAGCCCACCCAGTGCAGGTTGGACTCAGCCCCTATCACCCCATTAGGGTTACCACCAGCACAAATCCCTTTGTACTTTGTGATGCCTTCAGAGAAGATAGCCTGGCAGAGGGGAAGAGCTGTGCTCCCTTCCCATGATTTAATTATAACCAGTTATTCCCATCCCTTTGCCCTGTTTTGGATTCTTTACATGTTGTTTCGGAAAAGCTTAATGGAATCGCAGCCTTTGTATATATAAAATATAGGATGATTGAAGACCTGGCCACTTCTTTATTTAACTTCCCCAGCCATGCGTTCCTCCCAAAGCATTTTCCCCTCTTGCTGCCAGATCACTGTTTAAACTGTATGTAAATACAAAAGGAACTGTGGACAACGTTTAAAAATGCTGCACCATGTTGGGAGTAGGGCTTGCTAGAAAGAACACCTTCAGAGAGGCCTTTTTTCCCCTTTTCCTATGGTTCTGTGGCTCCCTTAGGACACATCAAAAGCCCGGTATGGGTGCTACCATTAAGTCTAATGTCTCTCTGGTTATCTATCTCTGTTTAGACTGAAATAGCTCCACTGTTTTTTCTTTAAAACTGGATTCTTTCCTGTCCTTTGAGTACAGAGAAGTTGTAATTAGGCGGGAAAAAAGAAAGAGGCCCTTAGAACCACTATGAAGAGAGGAGATAAAAACGAAAGAGGCTTCTGTAACAAATTTGAGGCAAAGCAAAATAGCAGGTTTGTTCCTTTTATCATAAGGTTTGCTTGGAAAAAGCTGAAGGCAGAGATGAATGGCCAGGCTCTCCTTTCTGCGCCTGTACCATCGCTCTGAGTGCTGATCTCACCCTTCATCTGCAGCTTTTCTTCCTCTGTAGTCCTGGCGCTGGACAATTCCTGTGCTTATGGGAAAGTTTTCTTGTGTTTTTAGTGAGTGTGGAAGACAGGCTGAGCTCTTCTCGGCTGGAGCATCACACCCCACACCAAGTCACCAGCAGCACAGCTCAGTGTAAAGTGGTACATTTCAGTGTGCACGCAGACCTGGGGAGCTCACTGACAGCTCGTCTTATGTACTGGCCTTTCTCCAGACATCCTTTTTGGAGGTGGGAAGAGCATAAGTATAAATTGTGTACAGTCCAAATTCAGAGGCATGAAGATAACGTAAACACTGGTTTTTAGTGTGCTTTCAGAGAACAATGCATCGAAAGTGAAGCTAAATTACTACTATTACTTTTCCCATCTTCTTTTCTCCCTGTTTCACAAGCTGCCCTCCTGGTGCAGTGCCATGACGCTGCTGGTCTTTAGGGGATGGGTGGGTTTCCTGCATCAGAGAGACAACAAAATTCTTTCCCTCTTTTTGTTCCTGTCTGTGCTGGAAGCGACACATTGACGGGCTGGTGGGGAGGATGTGCCAAACTCCAGCTCTTTCCATGAGCCCCGTATTGAAAGCATAGGATGGAATAAAATTGCTGCTCTGAGGATATTAAAAGGGAATGCATTTCGTTCTCCAGTTTCATTAAAAGCTATTAACATTGGAATGACATGGTCACTATTTATAAATCCCCAGTGCAGATGACTTGGTACAGCTGGTCAGAAGAAAAGAGGTTCAATAGAAACAGGGAGTCTATTTGCATTAATGGTGGTTACGTGCTCCTCCGGCAGGGAGGGGAGAGGGTGAGGGCATGGACCATTTCAATGTCAGTGATTACACCACTCACATATTCTTGTAACTCTTCAACAAATCACAGTCATGATTGGAAAAGGAAAACACCTGGTCAGAACCACACTTTTTAACATAAAGCATTGCTCTGACAAACAGTTCTGAGCCGTTTATACTGTCTGTAGGGGAAAACTTGACTTGGAAGTGAGGAATTAATGAATGGAGAGGAATTGGGGGCAAGGAGGCTCAGCCCATATTTATTTTTCAATCTGTGAAAAATATTCTAATAAGGACCTTTTCTGTGCAGTGATTGATCAGGAACATATGATGGGCCTCCTGCAGACACAACAGCAGGGTCCCTCCCTGCCTCAAAGTGAGAGCCACCTGTGGTGGCCTCAGGACTCAAGGGATGAGAAGCACTCACTAATACAGCAGTTTTTTTGGGTCTCTTGGTTTGCTGTTAGGCTTCCTCTGACATGTCTGCTGCAACAGTGAATGCTGCTGACCTGGAGCAGGGAGGAAGGGATTTCTGGGGCAGACCCCAGGGGCACAACATCCATAAAATTAAGAATATCTCTGTGTCTGTCTTGATGCCATGAAAATCCATATTTGAGCCATGCTGTAGAGCACTGAAGCCACTGAGAACTGGAGTAGTCAGTAGAGAAAAAGATACCCTGAACCCTAACTATTCTGTGATTCTATGTCCTGTGGGACTGTCCTTGAGTCAGGCTGTGGAAAAGGGGAATGCATGAAGAAAATGGTGCTTAACGTAACAGCAAAGCACAGTTGAAATGGGAGCCTTGGATGTTGGCCTTAGCATTGTAAATCCATGGAAATTGGACCCCATGTAGTAAATCAAAGCAGAACCCAGCCACCCCAGAGAACATGAGGGTTTCCGTTCACATCTCTGCTCCTCTCCTCTCATCTTTGAGTCTCCATCTAAGTTCATTCCTCCAGACCAGTCTTTCCAGCCTGAAGTATTACATCTTTTAGTGGTCTCTGCTTTATGGTGCACTTTATTGTCTGTTTCTAGAAAACAGTCAAAATAATAAATCACAAAAATACATATTCTAATCTCTGACTGAGAAGCTGAACATTTAGATTTGGAAAATACTTAGTTTTCCAACCCAGCAGTCTTCAGAAACCATTTGTGGAGTTGCTTAATCAGATGTCAACTTCTCATTGCTTTTGATCACCTCCCAAACCTGAGCTATGGACTCTGAGTTTAGGACTAGAAGATAAAGTGAGCTGAGCAGCCCTCTGCTCTCCCCATGTTAAACTTAACTTTCTAAAGAAGGTAACAATTTTGCAAAACCATAATACATCAATTCAGAGTCACAGGTTTGCTCTTCTGGTGTATGAAATCATATGTCTTGCATATGCAGCATATTAGAACATCATCCAGAATTTGCAGTAAGAGCTATAGTAAGAGTGACTGATTATTTTTGACAAGATGTTTTTATCTTAAGCCAGTAGCCAAAAGTTTCATCTAGTTTTTCATCCTATATTTTATGACTTTTAAATCCCTGACATCTTTCAAAGCTCTTTGGCTCGTGACCATGGCCCTCTGACTGACACGAGCCAGTGGACTTGGGTGTCGAGGCCCTGTAACAGATTACAATAAGCCGTGCCATTTCCAAGGCTCCTCATCTATCATGCAGCTGCTTTCATCGCTTGCACCAAAAGACTTAAGCAGGGATTATGGCATGAACCCTGCCTTTTCTCCATCCCTCTCCAGCTCACTCTCGTTCTGTCTCTCATTAACCAAGTCTAAGAATTTGTTACTAGAGTTGCAGACTCATTGACCCAGATTTGCTAATAATACGGGGGAGAGGAGATTTTTTTCCATGCTTAATCGCTGGCTTCTGTGTATTCTTAGTGCTATTTATATGCAGGAGAACTAAAAGCCTGTAATAAAGATGGGGCCAACTTTGCAGCAAAATTCATGCGTGTGTTCAGCGAGAGGCACAACAGGAGAGAGACGGGGGAAGAGGGAGACGGAAGTGAGTGTAGGTGGACTCACCAATACTTGCAGACCCAGCAGCAGATTTCTTCATAGCAGACCCTGCTTCTCCAGCCTGATCCACAAGACCATATTGGTTTAGCTCAGGGCTCCCCACTTTGCTCTGACAATGCTACACCATCAGAGTCATGCGCTGGCTTGCTTTGTGCCAAGTTTGATTTCCCTTACCACCAAAGAGCAGAAGGTCTGGAAGTGGTTTGGGAGAGTATTTCTGCCTGATCTAGGAGAGCGCTGGCTCTCCCTAGTCTTTGGGGTTCTGTGATCACTTCTAGGTCATGGAAGGTTTGCTGTCAGCACTTTTCATCCTTGGAGCAGACCTTCTGTCATGGTTTATTTTCTGCTTTGAGCCAGCTGGTGAATCTTGGAGACAGTCTTGGTGTTTCAGCTGCACTTGCTGTCTTTTGGCTCTGATGCTGGTGTCATGATGTGACGTGCGGTTAACCAGGAGAGCTAAGGCTTGGCACTGGCTTTCTTGTCAAGGCAACAGTTCTTTTACATGATGGGTTGAACTTTGCTTTCATATGAGCTCCCCATGCAAGCAAAGGGCTTAATTTGAAAGGAGCAGTGATGCAGGAGCTCATTTCCCTAGGACATGGGGGGAGACAGGGGATGGAGCAGCCTGGAAAATACTCCGAGGTCCTACTGGAATTGCCCATGTTTGCTGGCTTGAGAAAAAGAATCAGAACAAAAGGACTTTGCCTAATACTGTTGGCAAATACCTCTCTGCTTTCATGGAGGAATGCCTAGAAGACATAATTGTGTCATTAGTCTCTGCCTAGAAAAAGAAATAGATTATAGCATTTTTTTTTTTAATCCCCCCAAAAATGTTTTGTTTCAAGCATTAGCCATGGGAGCAAGAGGTGTTTCTTGTTTGAAAATCCTTGTGGAGACAGGCACAACTTGATTTTGTGAGCTTAAAGTCAGTCCCTGTTCTCTGCCAGGGATTTTTCTGGACTGTTTTGCAATGAAAAATGTTATATGTTCATTAGATTTTTGCACTGAGAGTTACCTCAGTGCCCCAACACACCTTCTTTTAATGAAAAAACAACTTTTGCCTTTCCTCCTCCCTCCTTCCCAAATTAGTCTCTTAAAAATGTCACATTTCCTGCAATTCACAACAACCTTTTCAGTCTCCCCTTAATGCCTCAATTTCTGTATCGCTGTTGCAAGTGAACCATGTGAGGGTTTTCAACTCCCTGGAAGCTGATCTCAGGTTAGAGGGCTGGGCAGGGAGACCTTTACATCAAAGCAGGGCCCTGGACTGGTCACGCAAACCACAGGAATCTAAATGGGGGATATTTATCAATTGTCAAGTTGAGTTTCCCAGTGTTGGAGCCAGCAGGATGTTCAGAAATCAGGCCAATTCTTTTGTAGCAGCCTCGTAGTGGATTCGGTAGCCTGACTTCATAAATTCACACTGGTGAGCGTGGAATAGGCGACACCAGTGCTTCCCACAGAGGTCCCCGACACATTTTCTGTATTAAAAAAAAGTATGTCTAGGCAGTGCACTAAATTTATATGCGAACAGATTTTTATCTCTTGTTCTCAGAAGATAAGATCGCGTCCCAGCAGAATCCTGTTTCGTGTTGCTGTTAGCATTTGTTATCTCCAGTAACAGCCTAGCCTGCTTCTTCCAGCCTCCAGCGAGGCTCCAGCCCTGTGCCCATGTGTGACTTCATCATCTCCAGCAGTAAAGATGCAGAGGGATGAGCACAACGAGGACCGTGCTTTTACTGGACCACTTTGATTGACTTTTGTTCCATGAGGGTTGTTTCTACAAGCTTGCGATCATGCAGTAATATTGACCTCATTGTCCCTACCTGTTGGGATTTTCCTGTTTCAAAACCGAAGCCACCTGTCCCCTCTCTCCAGATGCCTTGTTTAATGTTCAACAGCGTTGTTGCAGCAGCAGTGACCTGACTACCTACTGTAATAGGAAAAAGTTCTAATGTTACAGATAAAGCAGCAGCCATATAGATAAGGCACGGGCGTGTTTGGTGGATTCCCTTTCTCCTGTGCAGTGTGTGTTACTAGATAGATTTCAGGCTGTACACTGCTCCCTTTGAGCCTTTTCTCTGAACAACACAGGGAAACCATGCTCCACTTGACTGCCGATGAGCTCTTATCTCCTGTGAGCTGTTCACCCATGGGGTAGTCCCCTTAACATCCTTGCTTTATCCTGTATGCATCTCTGTTTGGCACCTGGGTGCCCCGGAATTTGCTTGCCTTGTGGTCCTGCTCACCTTTAGTCATGGATTTACCTGCAAAGGTTCCTCAGGAAAGGGCTGCAGGACCCAGGCAATGTCTTTTGATGCAGACTGTGGATTTATTGGTGGCACATCAGGAAGGCAATGCTGTCCTCCTCCATCAGGCTGCCCTCGCCATAGCTCTCTACTGTAGCTCTGGTCTCCTTGAACATTATGCTCTTCTCCCTTGTTTTAGGGCTGTCTGTGGTATTATTCCTGCCTGGCTTGTCAGGGCAAGTGAAGATGGGATCACTCTGCCTCCTCCGGAAAGCAGCAGCCATGGAGAAGGCTCTTGTGCTGAATTCTGTCTGCTGCTGTCAGTGGGATTTCAGTGCCACAGCAAACCTGATGCTGTGAACAAATGGGGGAAAAAACGTTTATTTTTAGAACTGGAACCATAATAAATACATGGGATTTGTCCAGGGTCTGCTTGATGTGCCTTTTTGAAATGCAAAGTGCATGTTTGTTAGAATACCTCTCCAAAGGTCAGCATAACCGAAGAAATAAATGTGCTGGCCTTTTGGAAAGCAGGTGAAGTTTCAGATGTGCGACAGCTACTTGCAGCTGAGAGCATGGGCCCCCATAACCCAAATCTGTTTCAGTGCTGCCCATGTGACACCATAAGGATGTGGATGGAAATGCTGCCTTGCTTAAAGGGTTTCTTTTGCAGGTTTCAGTGAGGAGCCCATCCTTAATCCTTCAGTTGAGCTTTTTCTTCCATTTTCCTGGCTTATTTCATATTTGCTGAAGCTCTGCTCATGCGTTTGAGGGACTCGTGCTGCAAGCATCATGATTGCAGTTGGTGAGAATAGGGATGAAAAATGGAAAACTCTGGAATGAAAAGCAGCAAAATGCTGGATGGGACCTCAGGACATCACAAACCCAATGGATTTGTGTCCCGTTTGACGATGTAGCCAGCCTGCCAGCATGCTTACAGCACTCGGGGATTGAAGTATTAGAGAACCTTATATTTTTTAATCCTTTTAGCTTCCTGTGAGGTGGAGGAATACTGTTACTCTCTCTGAGGCAGGGAAGTGAGGCATAAAGATAAGAAATTACTTGCTCAAAGCTTTGTAGGAATCTCATAGCTGAAAAGAAGAGTTGGCGTAGCTCTTAGCTGCCTGTCACGGCATCAGGCACCCTTGGGTAAGGTGATGTTTCTGCCACGAGCTTGGCTGTCATTATCCCACTGATGGTCTTTTGGGCAGGAATACAGGCAGGAGGGTTTGGGAGAAGTGGCAGAGGAACTGAAATGTGATGCAAACTATGGAAGCCGAGCTGCAAATTAGGGCAATTCAAAGGCACAAACATCCTGTTGAGCTTGCCTAGTCCCCGACAGAACATAATGAGTAAAGCACGTGCCCAAGCTCAGCTTCAGGCATGTTTCAGTGGGAAAGCTCTGCCTCCGCTGCCTTGGGTTATGTCAGGTTTTATTCCTGGTGGCAACCAGCAGGTGTTCATGTGAGGGGGAACGGCATTATAAATAAATTATCCATTCATTTCCTTCTGGGGACTTTCCTATTGTTTAGCCACAATATGCTTTCCTGTTTTCAAAAAAAAACCCACAACAAAACAAAGCCAAACCCTGGCCACAAGTTCCTCTCTGGCAGGATGGACCCAAAGCTGTGTTTGAAGTGGGTGTCTGTGTCATTGCGCTTCTGGCAGTTGTGCTGCTGGCACTGTCACTCCCACATCGGTCCCCTGTTCTTTCCAAAGGCGGTGTGGGATGTACCTGCCCGGGAGCTGTGCCGGAAGCATCGCATCCCGCCAGGCTCTGTCTTTACACAGGTCTTTTCTCCAGCAGGTCAATGTGGGAGGAAGGCTGGTGCTGCACAGGGAGTGGAAAGCAGGGGTTTCTTGTGAGAGCAGAGAGAACAAAAGTCCTCTTCCCTCCTTCCTCCTCCTGGCCAACACGGGGACACTGAGGCCATGGCACTCGCTTTTGCAGGGAAGTTGTTGTCAACCAATTTAGAAAAATAATGCAGCTCAATGGATGGCTTCTCTACATGGTAAGACTGTTGCCCAGCAGCACCCATCGGTGGTTTTGCTTAATGCATATCCCAGCTGGACAGCACAAAGGCTCTGTGAATCCAGATGTAAAACAGGGAGCCGGCATGGGGAAGCATGGCCAGGAGAGGATTCACCCCTCTCTGCTCAGGGTCACTCACCCAGTGCTACATGCTGGCTGGGTTCGTGCAATCATGCCTCTCTCTGCTAAGGAAACCCCAAAGCCTATTTCCTCTGCAGCAGCATCATTTGTCGGGAACATTTCCGGGCAGACACATGGAGCAGCACCCACACGAGCTGCGGGTGGGTCTGTGCTGAGAGCAGCCATCTTCTGCATTTTAGCTCTTTAGGAGGCAATACCCAAGAGAAATACCCAAACCTACTGTAAGCATAGCCAAGGCTGACCCCACAGACCCAGGAAACCCTCTCCTGCACTGGGAGAGCATGGGTTGAAGCCTGGGTAGCAGCACTGCTGTGGGTGGAGGTGCTGTGCTGAACAGGGGGATTGCCCTGAGAGAATTTAACAGCCAAAGGGGTCTGTCTTCTCTTCTCTCTGCCTCCTCCAGGACTCTGCCTCCATCGGCCTGGCATGGAAATAGCAAACACCCCACTGGTGTTAAGAACAAAGACGTATTTATTTATATCACTGTACGACAGGGTTAACCATTACCTTGTGCTACGCAGCGATTGTCACGTGCAATATGAATGAAGAGTTACAAAAGACCTTTTATTTAGCCACTATGCCTGTCACTATTTAGGATTGCCCTTTTTGTGTTGATGCAAACAGGAGCTTTCTGCCTTTGTAGCTCTGACTCCTGTTGCAGATGCTTGATTTCAAGGGCTAATCCTGTGTTCAGATCTCGCCTGCGGCCCCTCTTCTCTTCCATTCACAAAGGCAGCAGTTGCTCAGAGCCTCTAGTAGTTCAGACACGAATGCAAGTCCCAGTGTCTTGGTGCCCTACCTGGTATTTGCTTGCAATAAAAGCTGCAATAAAACTGCAGCTCTCTTTCTAGCTGAGCTCCCAGCATCTTCTGCTGTTTCTTTCCAAAAGCATGAGAAAATCCTTTCCTTGTCACGACGCAAAACCAGGGGTCACACACAGCTTGAAGCAGCTTGAAGGAAGGGCCAGGCAGACAGCTTCTAAAGCTTCGAATGTGGCAAAGCATTTCAAAATAAGTGTGTGCAGGTTTATATTTAACAGGATGACTCTGAGCACCTTCCATTTTTGCTTTCAAAGTCTCCAAAGAGGAGGAGTGGTGGAGTAGATGGGAAATGGGGCGGTCAAAGTGCCTGTGATACCACGGTGGTGGTCATGGGAGCCCAGGTCCTGGAGCAAGACCCCATGTGTACAAGACATGCACAAGAAATTGCCGTCTCCTCAGGGAACATATAGCTAAGGCTTAAGATGAAAAGTTGAGCTTTTTTCATTTCTGCTTCACGCTTGTGTGAACTTCACTTTAGGCCTCAAATCTGCTTTTCTTAAAATTGGTCTCGAAATTGTTATTGACTTTAAATGCTGCAAGATCTCACCCATAAATTCTTCTCCCATCTGTAAAACGGGGATGGCAGGATTTCTGTGCCATCTGTGGTGCTGTGAAGCTGAAAACAATCATCATTTATAAAGTGCTTTGAGCTCAAATGGGAGGTTCTGTGTAAAGGCAAGGCTTTGCAGGATGAAATGTTCCTTAATGTGCCAGTTGCATCTGATAGCTGAACCAGGGGCTGGGTTGGAAGTTTTGGAAGAACAGTCTGGTGATGCAGAGGTAGTGTTCCAGCTGCTAAATGTCTCAGTTTATTTCTGTTGTTCAAAAGCTCCTGTTCATCGTTACAAAATTAAGGGACAGAGAATGCAGTGGCTGAATGTCCCACAAAAATCAGTATCCTACATCCATGCTCATTGTGAGCATCTCTGATCTTAACAGCCTCCAGTCTCAGTGCGGCTCTGGCCACCAGCTGGTGATTTAGCAGCACATGCATTGCAAATAGGAAACTCAGAGCCGCAGTCACAAGTGTTAAGCCTTTCTGAGTGCAATAGGATGCATCTGATGGGAACAAAAGGATATTCATTTTCATCCAGCTTTGCAGGGTGTAGAAGGGAAGCTGCCTAACCTTTGCCCCCAGAGCTACATTTGCCTTATATTTGCATAAAGCCGAGGGTCCGGTTGCTGCAACAAAGAGCAGATTGTGGCCAAGCACAACAAGTTAAGATTAAACAGTGTAGTTCCCAGCGAGTAATGCAAAGCACGCGCAGCAACCTGCAGTTGTCCGGGCTGAGCTAACACATGGCTCCGGTCAAGCACTTCTGACGGAGCCGCTGGTTTCTCCTTTTGCAGACACAAGCCACCAGCCCCGCTCCGTCTCCAGCCGCCCCTACTACAGCTTGCCCAACAGCAGCCATGAGAGACGCTCGGTCCTTGCTATCACGGAGCCGCCGCGTTTCCATTCCCAAGCCAAAGGCAAGAACGTGCGTCTGGACGCTCACTCCCGCAAGGCCACGCGGAGGAACAGTTTCTGCAATGGAGTCACCTTCACCAACCGGCCCATCCACCTCTATGAGAAAGTCAGGCTGAAGCTGGTGGCAGTGCACCACGGCTGGAGTGGTGCCCTGCGCTTCGGCTTCACCATTCACGACCCATCGCAGATGAGCTCTGACGAGATACCAAAGTACGCCTGTCCTGACCTGGTGACCCGACCTGGATATTGGGCCAAAGCTTTGCCAGAGAGGTTTGCTGTGAGAGACAATATCTTGGCCTTCTGGGTTGACCGTCATGGGAGAGTCTTCTACAGTATTAATGATGAGGAGCCAATATTGTTTCACTGTGGTATTAAAGTTTCCGGTCCCCTCTGGGCACTCATAGATGTCTATGGAATTACCCATGAAGTGCAAATACTAGGTAAGTGTGTGTTTTGGCCTGTGGGTTGCTCTTCTGTCAGTTTTGTACCTCAAATTAACCATTTTCCTTTTGCCAGCAGTGGGGATCCAGAAAGCAATATATTTCAGAGATGTCAGTGATGGAAACTCCTAAGGCTGTGCACTGTAGCAGCCACGTGAAGGGATAAATGGAAATCTTTACATGTAATTTTACCCAGCTTTTTCTGAGCTAAATATGCTATGGCATGGAAAAACACAGTGCTGCTTTATAGAGAGGTCCCAGGGACTGAGGAGACAAAGGTGACTAGTTCTGGCTTCCCCTGTTCTTTCCCAGCTACCAGGTGCTGCTAGTCCACTGGAAAACTACCACCCGTTCCCAAGAGTTTTGTGGTGCTTTTCTCCAGCCCCTTTCTCAACCCTTGGCCTGGGTCCCCACCTAGGCTGGCACTGTAACAAGCTGTGGTGCAGATGAAACCCAACTTACCCTTCACTTACACACAGGCGTCGCTGTATGTCTGCAAAGCACCGGCTGCAGCCCACCAGTGGAAGAGTGATGAGACAATGTAGTGTGAGCTCCTGTGTGCTTTGGGATCCTTGCCAGCACGGGCCACATCTCCCCTCACCCCTGAGCAGATTGCTGCATTCAGGTGGTGCCTGGCTGATTTACAGGCACCATCCTTGGGGAGGGCTGCAGGAAGGGATGAATTTGTTCCCATCAGCAAATGGAGCCAATTGCCATGGAATGACTTTCCTTTCGTGACTTTTACAGCACTGAAATTTCAAATGAATTCACTGTTAGATGGAGTGTTTTGAACTGGTCTACACCACAGGGAATCCTTTTAAAATACAAGAATGCTGCCATTTCCCAGAGGCTCCAAGGAGCTGATTTAGTTTTAACAGCCAAACTATGCTGCACCTGCTCGAGGGGATGGTGCCTTTATCCTCACACCGAGCAGACACCAGCAATAAGCTGTGAAATGGTTAGTCCACTGGGCAGACAGCTTCATCACATATTCTTCTGAATGGTGCCAATTATTTTACAGCGAGAAGGCTACACATAAACAACACTTTGCCCTGCCTGCTTTGCCTCAAATGTGTAATTAAACCTTACCAGCAGCTTATCCTGTAGTTGCAATTGTGACACACTCCAGCCTCTGGTACTCATCACAGAGGTGAAGCAGTATTTGCTGTATTGGCCAGTGCAGCTGCTTCTGACCAATACAGAGTGGTCCTTCTTCCTCATTTGATTGTAGTTGGAAAAATAAAATGCAGCTTATTTCTGCCCCCCTCTCTCACCAGAGCTGCCTGCTTCATCCGAGTGTGCAGAGTGAAACACTCAGTCTGAGGGTGCCTGTACTCTGAATTATATGAATTTATATATATATATATATGAATTTTATA